TTAGAGTCGGGGTTGGGGATATGGTTCAAATTAAGGCAATATCTCGATCTGAGTGTTTGAGAAGAGATCATGCTGAGCAGGGATGTTGTAGCCACGGTAAGGGACCCACAACTGTCACGGGCCCTTAATTCTCACCTTAACCCTACCTTATGAGCGTTACGCCACTGTCCTTGGGTTGCATTCACGATCTGGAAAAGCAATAGGCCGTTCCAAGGTTAAGGACGCCAACTTCAATATATCGTTTTCATCATTGTGTTTGCACCGCTTGCTAATTTACCTATAGGGAATTCCATTGTGTTTGCACCATTGTGTTTCATTATGGCGTCGTTAACCTTGGAAGGGTCTATTGATCTGACTTCATTTGATTTGCGACAATGGTAAAACTCTCAATGTTTTCGGAACCCTGGCTCTAGCTTTACTTCTAGGACGATTTGTGATTATTTTGGTTATTATTTAGTTTTATCAGAGGAGTTCAGTGAAGACCACAGGATCCCTAGTACGGAAGACAAGACTGAACAAATCAGTAGCAATATAGTAACTTCAACAATATCACAGATACATGTAGGCAACATGCTATCGTAGGACTATCGTTATATGATACTGTAAATATGAAACTTGTGTATTACATGTAAGTAGTTTAATTTGCCATATTAAAAATACCTGACAATGCGTTTGCTAAGTCATTGTAAATCATCTTATTCTGGGAATGGTGTGCGATCACAAGCACGCCTTGACACCAGTGAGCTGCGTAAGTATCTGGAGTGAGAACTCGCGTCCAAAGTGAAAAGCCAAGTATGGCGGAAATTGACGTCCAGTGGCAGTCCCTTTCTAGTCCCTATATATACAGTAGCACGCCTCGATTAAGTTGCAATGCAAAATATATTTATAAAGACCAGACCTACACTTATCATTTATAGACGTCGAGCGAGGGGCATTCGGCGAAATATAACCCCCGAACGGAGGGTCTATAAATGATATATTATACCAAAAATTAAAAGCCTCCAAGTTGAGACTCTGAAGTTGAGAATTAAAAGTTGACACATATACCTTCGTCAATACGATGTTTTACTTTTGGATTAACGCCCCAGTTTTACGTTTAAAATTTAATTATTCACACTCATTACTATTTATATTTTGCAATTGTCGGCCATCTTGTTGTCATGCGTATTGTTTCGCGTGGTCTACGCGAATAATGTTCAACCCCATGTTCCACCCCATGTTCCCCGGGGAACATGGGGTTGAACATTATTCGCGTAGACCATGCGAAACAACACGCATGACAACAAGATGGCCGACAATTGCAAAATATAAATAGTAATGAGTGTGAATAATTAAATTTTAAACATAAAACTGGGGCGTTAGTAATCCAAAAGTAAAACATCGCTCCTCCGCTCGGGGGATTATATTTCGTAGAATCCCCCTCGCTCGACGTCTATAAATGATAATTATTATGAAGCCTAAGGCGTTCTACCTCATCGACCACCACTTGCTACTTTCCAAACTGAAGACGTGTGATTTACCTCAATGGGTGTTTAAATGGATCAAAGACTTTCTCACAGGAAGAAAACAACGGGTTAAACTAAATCAAAATTCTTATTCAGATTGGGCCGACTTTCAGCTGGGGTTCCTCAAGGCACTAAGTTGGGGCCGTGGCTGTTTATTATAATGATAAATGACTTCAACATTAACGATAGTAATATATGGAAATTTGTGGACGATACAACTTTGGACGAAATTGTTAGGAAAAATGAAGAAAGTAAAATTCAAACCCTTATAGATATCTAACAAGGACCTCTGAGGAGTCTGGGGACCAATTTAAACAATAAGTGTAAGGAGTTATACAAATCGTATTCTGTAAATCAAGAGCAATGGTTTGACCCTATTACAATAAATGGAGAAATCGTGGAAGTATTTCTTCAAATAGTTTGTCTGAAAGACCGTCTCTTCGATGGCCGAGTTGTTGGAGGCCAGTTGATTGTATGAGCGTCTTCATACGAGACCCAAGGTAAAATAATTCGCAATGCTCTCTTTTGGATCCGCTCTAAATCCTGACCGAGGTAATTTGTCAAACCATTATGGAATACAGGACTTGCGTATTCTAGGATTGGTCTTATGCACGTTATAAAGAATAGGACAAGTTCTTTCTTGCCAACTTTCGCTCTCTTAAGTTGGGAGAGAAAATAGAGACGCTTTCGCGCCTTCGATATAATTTGGTCGATGTGATTGTTCCATTTCAAGTTTTAGTCTAGGACCTGTATATGAGTTGTATGCATTTCATTTAGGACAGATAATCTCAACTGTTTTAGGGCAAGTTGACCATGACGGTCAACATGGTAACGCTGCCCGAACCCCAATCCGGGACGAAAAGTCCGAAACTGACCACACCCAAAAACGACGCTTTCGCCATGCTGCTATCTACCAAACCATAAAAGCTTTGGCTATTCTGAGGTGCTTACATGGTTCAGAGATGGTACTTTTGGGGGTGGTCATTGGTAAGTGTGAAATGCCTAGCACTAATATTTCTAAAGAAAATGACCATGCAATAATCATAGTTAAACGTCAATTTGTGGTTTGCAAATTCAGATAAACAGCAGTGGACTTACATCACCTTTTTCCCTAAATCTTCCTGATAGAAACATAATTGGTACTTATTTAAATATATTATCACTGGTTTGGTGTAAAATAGTTAATATTTTCTTACCTAAATAATACCTCCTGCAAATGGACGTATTTGGCCAAGTTCTCCACTTTACTCCCTTGTTTATCGGCGATCTCGTTGAATTCCTAAAAAAAATGTAAATCATTTCAGACATAGTGGTATCAAGAACATTTGAAACACGTTTCAACTTGGTTTCAAGTAGATCATACCTGTTTAACCATCGACAAGGTAAATCCACAACTTTGTCCAAATTCGGCGCCATTTTGTCATCCCATATCGGTTGTCAACAATTCGGCCTTGTTACTCTTCCATCCAAGCCATTTCCATTCCACTAATAATAAATTTAACCCTTTATAACGGTAGGAAACTAAAAAATCTAAAGAAAATATAAGAAATGCGCCATTTTATCACGCTGTAAAATTTGGCTCACGAGTCTTTCAAAACATTCCGTACAAATTCCGGACAAATATATACATATTATTATTTCTTAATATGAAAAAGTCAAACAAATTAAATGTTGATTGTTGGTTTTACCATGCTGTGTGGGCTTTCCTTTCATTTTTCACGTCTCTACCCCCCCCCCCCCCCCCCCCCCCCCCCCCT